CATTGTATAGCAATGAGCCACATGGCATGCACAACAAATCTGTGTCCATGTTGAGCTGCAATTAAACAAAATATAGCTTACTTCTTGCAATAATTAGTAGAGATTCATAGATGGGAACTATTCATACAAATACATCTGGGGTTAATTGTATGTTTGAACTCAGAATACTTCAGGAATTAAGTAATTTGCTGTATTTATGCTATTTTGACACTTCTTTACCCCAATAATTTAGTTGAGGATTCACGCAATAAAAATGTGAATTGTAATGGATATTTTCCAGCATGTGAAGGAACTTGCTCACATCTAGAGTAAAATGACATGATGCTTGCCTTTCGACTGTGAAAATTACCAAATTATACATATGTAGTGTTCAAATTCAGGATCTTTTAAGGATGTCATTAGATGCAGCTGTTTTGAAACAGGTTGAGATCCCTTTCTGCATTGTCCATCATTACACACAAAAGTCTGGCCACAAAGGACAATTCTGAATCTTCATGAACTATTTCCAGATTGCTCTGTTCTTACACCATGCTGGGGTGAGGAACAACAGTACTGTCACCAAATACATGAGCTCAGGTTAAGAAGTCTAAATATGTTGTGTAAATGTAAATACATATTACCAGAATGCAATGACATTTTTTCATCAGAAGTTTTACACAGTGGCTCTGATGCCATATATTGTTTAAGTAAGCAATGATCAAGCTGTTGTGAGCTGAGACCTCTGAAACAGTTTCCTAAATGACTAAAAAATAGTTACTAATCTATCTTCTGCCACTCAGCAGTGAAATATTAACCCAGTTAGGGAGTTTGCTGTTTAATTTAATGGCCATTTAATGGCCAGACTGGAGTCTGTGAAGAAAAAAGTGTTTAATTTTCAGTAAAACAGTATATACACACTATAAACTGAATGGTGAATGTGCACTTATAAAAGACCATACCTGTAACTAACTTTGTTTCTGTGCACTGCAAGAAAACTATTTCTACACTAGACAGGCTTCAATGATTCAAACCAACAGCTTTCTTTAAACAGAATATATGCTCTGGAACATGAATGGGCAAATATGCTTTTCATGGTAAATTCTTCCAGTGTGATATCCTAGGTCATATTTAAGATATTTGGCTGTGATGGGCAATTTCAACAGATAAAGCTGGGTTGTTTTGTTTTTATCTGGTGAGAACAATGATTAATTTGGCTGTAATTTAATCAATTCTCTGTTAATGTTTACTTGACAACTTGTATTAGGTCATGTTTCAGTTTTAATCTTATCAGTGGCCGTGTTCGGAGTCTTATTTCCAAGCTTTTTTCAACAGTAAATAACTGTCCAAACCTGACTCTTCACCACTTTGCAGCTTATGTTGTCATTTACATTGGTAAGAAATCAGTGTGAAGTGCTGTCATTTTAATCTGGAACATTTTACAAATGTTTTCCTTATGACACAGTGAAATAAATCACTGTACAAGGAACCAGGCAGGGCTCATTCCCATTTGGGCATTTCACCTATGAGACAACATTTTCCCTCTCCTGTTGTAGCTGTCCTAGGTGGTTCTCTACTAAGAAATACTAGAAGTGTTAAGGAATAGACAACAATTCTTTTGGGATGGACATTGCAGAGATTCTTTCTACCAAATAAGAAAGAAATAGGAAATAAGAGTCTCAGTGCACTTCTTTAGATATGTAGAGAATCAGGTTGAGATATTTTGGCAAGTGACATGCTTGCAAAGGGCAATGGATTTCATCAAGGCAATGAAACCAAGTGCTATTGAGCATTTGCACAAATATATTGTATATCCTTACTCAGATCACGTTTCTACTTGACGATGTGAAGGAACTGTTCCTTGTATTCTACATTTTAGTTACCCATCCCACACAGACCAGCACTATGACAGGACTGGAAGCTTGTCCTCAAAAGAGATTGAGGAGTCATGTAACAGAGGATGATTTAGGTTGCTGAAATACAGTAGCCTCTGAAATCCATCTCTATCTCCTGTTTATTTGTGTTAATGCCTGTAAATTACTAATTACTAGATATTGTTATCCCTCATTTCTTTCTCTCCCTCAGTCCTATGTACTAAGTGTTAGAGACAGTTGTTGAATAGGGGTTAAATTTAGACTGCAGAATTTATAAGGAATGCTATATGCAATGGATTGGGTAATCTAGTAATACAGCCAGCTCTTACATCATGGGTGGAGCAGAGAAAGACATTTGCTCAGAAATGCAGAGGTGGTAAACAATATTTTAGAGATCAACTGAGAAGAATCTAAACAGCCCAAGAGAGCTAAAATCTTCTTTTTCACTGTGGTCAGCGTCAGAGAATCCTTTCCCAATAAACAGCTCCATCACATCCAGTGCCAAGAATTTCCGGTCTGGAAAAACAAGGGAGGAGTTTTATAGAGTCTGTGACATCTGATGAAGATGTATTTACATCACACAAAAGTTAAGAGTAACTGGAAGTTGCTGTCCTATAACAGAGAGCCCAACAACACTGAAAGTGTCAGGAGTAATGTATCTTTACCTCTTTCTGTGTGAAAACACACTATTGGAGTAAGATAAGTTTCAGAAATTTGGAATTTAGAAGGCATTTATTTTCCCTTTTTAAAATTTGTATTTATTTTTAACACTGGTTATTAGCCAGGTAGCTAACAGTTTCTTCAGACAGTTCTACTGTAAGTAGTAGTTTGGGTGGGATTTAAGTATTTCTAGTACTGTGCTATCCACAACTTTTTCCTCAGTGATCTTGCTGTCAACTGATAAGCAAGTCTTTTAAACTGTTACCGATTTGCAGAACAGTGACATTTTTGTCTTCACAAAAGGTAGGCAAGAAAGAATAGTGCTGGTGTAAAGCAGCATAAAGTTTAACTTTTGATTTAGTTTTTTAAGGTGAAGTAAGTTTTTTTCAAAGTACTGCAAAATAAATCCCACTTAAGGGAATAGGAGCTGTAATAAAGACAATTTGTTTTAAGACTGTACCTAACAGTATTCAGCAGTGAGCCAGACAAAACCACATAAGCTTAAGCAAAAGTGACAGAGCCAAAAAAATAATTGTAATAATTCTGTTCCAGGTAGTCATATGAATAAAGTTATTATTATTATTATAATTGTTTTTCCCATGGTGCTGTTAGCCATCAACAAGACTTCATCTTTTGCTTTGCCTATCACACGTTTTTTAAGAGACCTTGGGGAATTTTTTTTTTTTTCCTTCTTAATTTTGATCCAGAGTTTCTCTTCAAAATGCTGGCTGTGGTTTTAATCATGACCAGGAAATGTAAGTAACTTGTGCTTTAAGTCTAACCTCTTTAGCAGGAAGGATACATTGTCCATCCGGTGCCAAGAAGATGGAAATATCCTTAAGTTTGTATTCAATTAAATACAGGATTTACTTTTCTGTCCCAAAATTTGTGAATGGTTTAGCTTGGAGAGGTTGCTTGTGGAAGAACTGATTCACATGTTTACTTTTGTTCTCCCCAAATTAGAGACTGACCAACATGACTATACTGTCGTTGTGCTCTTTTCTATATGTTATTTGTGTCCTCATCCAAAATTACGTCTGCAAAGTTTTCAGTGAGCAAAAGATTTCAGGCTCTTTACTTTATGGCTTTTTTTTTTTTTTTTTTTTTTTTTTTTTTTTAATGGGGAAAAACATAGATTCTTTCATTAGTTTCATAGAGAAGCATATTTTTTCTTAATCACCTTTTGAAGGGGAATGAAAGCCACTACTACATCACAGTAAAAGTTATGTTGAAAATGTATGCTTTTAAAAGGGTTCTAACAAGCTATAGCCAGAGCTGTGCCCTAACTTTCCCCACAGAGAGTACAAGGGTGCAGGAACGGCAACTGGTGCCAACTCTGTAAGGAAAGTACAGACCCCAGGAGCTTAGAGGTATTAGTAATCAATGCTCCCCTTAATATGCCTCTATATTGCCTTTTTTTCAATACTATTACCTTTTTTTTCAATACTATGCTTTGGTATACCTACGCTCGATGGGTGTTGATTCAAGTTTCAGTTCTCAATTAAACTTGTAGTAACTGCAAATATAATTGTAGAGATTTTCTGTATTACCACCAAAAAATGAATGGTAGGCAATGGAAAAAATGAACCTTACGCCAAACTTTCTATACTTAAAGTGTCCCTACAGTACTTTAAGGGGCATACAGAAAAGATAGTGAGATACTCATTACCAGAGAGTGATATGACAAGGGGTAATAGTTTTAAACCAAAAGACAGTAAATTAAAGCTGGATAACAGGAAGAAGTTATTCTTCCTGTGTGGAACAGGTGGTAATGGAACAGGTTGCCCAGAGAAGCTGTGGCTGCCCCATACCTGGAAGAGTTCAAGGTCAGGCTGGATGGGGCTTTGGGCAATGTGATCTGATGGGAGGTGTCCCTGCTCATGACAGGGGGTTGAAATTAGATGATCATTATGGTCCTTTCATCCCTATGATTCAACACCTTACAGTTGTTACCTCCTTCCCCCAGTTCTTCTCATCCTTACATGCCTGCCACACCTACCAGCTGTTTCCAGTTCCTTGCTCTTCTCTGTGCTATTGGCCTTTATATGTTGCTGCTTTATATATTGAGCACCAAATATGGTGAAATATTGATCCTTGGTCCTGTGTATCCATGAGTATGACAATATAAACACACATTAGTTTTCTTACAACGCAGTAAAGATATAGCTCTTTTTGTTTCTAATTTCTGCCAAGGAATGTGATTCTTTTATGTCAGAGAGGCAGTTTATTAAGAAAGTTTCATACAGGAAAATCTTTGCGAAAGTAAATATTACCCAATTTGGAAGTAGCAACACCCCTCTCTCCCTCTCCCACAAAGAAAACCAAGGAACTTGGTTTGAAAGGAACTGTATTATGACCCTGGAAAGACATGCTTGAAGACTGCAGTTATGTCATTGGCATACTCCATGCTGGTTGAATATATTTATAAAAGACACCAATGAGTCATATGTAAACATTTTGATTATAAAGATTTTCTTCATTTTCCCACAGACTTGCTGCTTTCAAACAGCTGCATCCCATTCCTAGGATCTACGGAGGGGCTTGATTTTCGAACCCTGCTGCTAGATGAGGAGAGGGGCCGGCTGCTAATTGGGGCTAAAGACCACATCTTCCTGCTCAACTTGGTTGATTTAAACAAAAATGTAAAAAAGGTCAGTTTATTTTCCACAGAGTTCATCCTATAAATTCAATTTTGTTCCTTTTTATCTATTTTTTTTTTCTTCACTGGGTAACTCTGATCTGTTGTGTGATGGACTTAATATTTATAATGTAAATAGTTAGTATTAATCTCACCTTCCATAGTTATACAGGTTATCTTTAATAAAATGAATTTCTCATGGTATCTGACCTTCTGTGAGATTGAAGTCCTACAAGAGGTCACCCACCTGTAGGAGCCCTGCAGTGCATTAAAACAAAATATCAACAAATTGGCAAACATGCACCTGTAAGTGCTTGTTTTTTGCTCTTTTTTTTTTTTTTTTTTTTTTTTTTTTTTTTTTTTTTTGTCATGGTCACCCTTCTGAAATAAAAGCATTTGGAAGATGGTAACTGCAGGCAGATCATTCATTGTTTTCTGGCATCACTGGGATTACATTACTCTGATATTAAACACAGCAGAGGCAATTTGGGTGGTTTAAATTATGGCAATGTTACTGGCAATTTAATATTAATATTTACACTAATATCTGGAATTGCTAGTGATATGAGAATCTTCCACTGGGATCCAGTGTACTCTCTGGCCCTTGCCCTGTGACAATGTGTTAATTCCAGATAATAAAAAGGCAATGTAGCCTTCAATATTTCTAGTACACATGGTGAAACAGAGTTTTTGTAAGCACAATTGACGGCTACATATAAAAAACAGATGCTTGTACAGAAACACACACAGAAACAGCTTTTCTGCTTTTTCCAGACATGCTACTTACTGAAGAAAATTTAAATTCTCAGCTGTTTGATATATTCTTTAAGCTCCAGCAGGAGGTATTAAGTGACTATATTTTGCTGTCAGCTCTGAAGTGGTAACTGATCCTAAATTAATATGATGGCAGCACAGGGCTTAACAGGTGTAACAGGAGATGATTTTGCCCCACACTTAAATGCAACACTTGCTGTTGTCGTATACAAGTGTTTCTAGTATCAAGTTGTGTATCTTATTTTGACTTCTACAATGTTCCATAGACCACTTTAAAAATCTTTTTATTTATTTATTTTTATTTTTATTTTATTTTTATTTTTATTTTTATAATCCTTTAAAATTCATATTGTTCCAGGAGATTTCTTCCCTAGGATGCTTTATGAAACACCTCATGTTAATCTTCCATCTCAGTAGTTTGCTGAAAAACCAAAACCTTTTCAGGACATTGCAGTTATAACAGCATTATTAATATTGCAGATTCAGATTATGGATTGATTTTTGGCATAGGCTTTCTGTAGCAAACAAATTGTGTTTGTGTGAAAAGCAGACGCCTGTTTCTGTGGGTGCTGATTGCCTCCTGAGAGATCCTGAGTGCTGTCACTTTGTATTATGTTCAGTGGGGATTGATTAGTTCAGAGCTTTCTGGAGGCATTCACACCCTGGATAGTCTACCCCTCCACCCAAGTTGGTAACATTTCACTTTAGCCATATCACCATTGATTGTTATGGATGTTGCACTTTCCAAGAATTGCAGAAAGAAGATTGAGCCAGGAGAATTAATTTGTGATCAGGCAGTGCCATCAATCATATATGTTTTAGAGCAAAGATTCTAGATTTGAAGTAAAGTTTGCACTTCGTAAGCTATTTAATATGCCTAAATATCTGTAGTAACCCAGGGAAAAAAAAATAATAAAAAAATAAAATAAAATTCATAGCCACTAAGATATCTGGAGTAAAGAAAGAATTATGTGCAGTTTCAAATACATTTAACTATTCAGGTTGTCTTTAACTTTTCAGAGAAAACATTGAGGCAAAGTGTATTTAAATAGCTAAAAGTGACACTGAAACCTTGCAGAGCATTCTGGTTTGTTGATTTCCAAGGTCTCCATGGGCATTCAACAACCTTATAAACTTACCTGGTTGAGTACATGCCCACAAGGCAATGTCATACAGACGTCCTCCTTGGTTCTTCCGTTCTGGGCTGGTTGAAACGTGTGAGTGAGAGGAGAGAGGAGATGAAGGAAGTTGATTTTGTATAAATCTCAGTCACTGATGAGGTTTCAGTGCTCAAGGATACTCTCCAGTAGCAGGGAAGTGTCAGAAAGTAGCATTAGCCTGTGCTGTGTTTAGACTGACCGTGGTTTGCATTGGCTCGGGGCCAGGCGGCTGGCTTCCAGGCTCTCCCGGTGTGAGGAAACCACACAAGTTGGGACTGCGAGGGGCTGAAGTGTGTCCTTTGTCCTCTCCTGTCCTGGAGCAAGAGTAGTCTGAATTAATTAGAATATTAAGCATCTTCTGATTCAGATTACTTAATAAAAGTTCTCAGTTTCAGATATATATGTTTTTTGTATTAGTAACTACTGATACACCAAAAGGCCAAGTTATCATCCCTAACAGTTTATTCCCAGAAAATCCCTGTCTGTGGACATAAATACTTGGTAAAATTATATTGTAGTGTTCATATGTCTTGATATGAAGACATATGTCATCATATGTTCTTCATATGTCTCTGTGTTCATATGTCGTGAATAGTACTCAAAGAAACATTTAAAGCATTGTATTGTGTTCCCTTCTCTAATGTATACACACACATCATTTCATAACTTCATTTTTGCAACCTAATTATTTACCTAAATTAATTAAATTAATTTAAATATATTAAGTTATGGCTTTATTTCCTGGTATAGTTTTTCCTGATGAAATAAATCAATAGTTCCTCCGGAGTTCCGATTTCTTGAATCATTGTATTTTTTATTCAATTTATTGTGTAATTGGTTGAAAACTTCTTAACTGTCAGCTCGAAAAAATCTACCCAGTTTCCAGTGCTTTCAAACCTTATTATAAAGCAACAGTAGCTAGAATAATATAACAGAAAAAGACTCCAGAACGAGTGGTGAGAATAAGAAGAATACAGATGACTAAAAATGTAGCTAAGGGATATAATTGTCTTTCTGTAGTATGAAAAAAAAATATCTGTGAACTTAAACTTGTCTTAAATAGCAGCCTGTAGCTCTTATTGCACAAATAGCATTATCTGTGCCATAGTCTTTTCTTGAAAGATTCTGAGGAGCCTGACAGATGTTGCAAGCTATTTACACACTGTAAAATAAAGAAAAGGCAGAGAAGAGCAGCAACCTATATTTATCAGGTCATTGCAAATGTAGACAAAAACTATGTCACAACCAAGTAAAAGTGTGGTGTAAAACAAAATTTTTTACTAGCATGAGAGAATGAAAAGCTGTAGAAGAATTCCTTAGGAATCCTAATCTCTGGGATCTGTCTGAAAAGATGACTTCAGTCAATAGAATTTTCTTGTGAGTTTGCCTTAAAACTGTTATTTTAATATTCAAAAACAAACAAACAAAAACTAGAAACTAAATAATAAATACAAAATGTGATCAGCTGAGCAAACACATATGCAGTAGCTGTAAAGAAATTCTGCACCTTCCTGTAACTTGCGCTCACTACCAGTGTGAGCAGGGTTATATGTCAGCACTATTATCGCTGTGCAATCTGTGGTGTGACCCGCCCATCTCTGCAGGAATAGGAATGCTATCAAGGCCTGACAAGCTTTTGAAAGTCTGCCAACCTGCAGGAGCTGTCAGTGCTAGAAGACACAGCCACATGTGGGCCAAATAGATAAACATGTCAGATCCCCAACAGCAGCTTTGGAAGAAGCTGTTTTCATCTGCCCCAGTGTGTACTGGCACTAGGTCACAAATTATTGTTGCCTGGAGTATCCTTAGTTTGTGGTTGCTACCATTTTTTTGGCATTGCCAGGTGCAGCTGTCATGTATCCCATCCTTTAATCTCCTTTTGTACTGATTTCATCTGTGGGCATTTCACAGTAGAAAATACATATGCATATATTTATATATATATCATTTCAGTAAATGCTTATGAAATAGTTGTGAAGAAATTCTGCACCTTTTTATAACTCCAGTGCTTACTAACAGTGTTAATAGGGTTATAAGTCTATCTAAATATTTCCACTGTGTGATACCTGCAGTGTGATGCACCCATCTCTGCAGGAATGGGGATATACTTGAAAAACATATGCATGTGTGTATATAAGTATATGTGTGGTTCTTATAAAAATATATATATAAACAATACCCTTCAGATATAGGTGCCTAATTTCATCTTCATTGCTCTGGTAAACCTGTCAGTCTATATAAATGTCTCAATTAGGAATGAAACCAGTGGGAATTAAGCCAGCATTGAAGGGAGGCTTTGGTTGTGCCACCATGCCGGAGCCTCAGGAGTACATGCACAGCCTGAGATGTTTATTGCAGCCTTGAAGCACAGTAACACCAAGATTAATCCTTCATAAAAAAATATGTGCTGTATATATTATATTTCAAAGGAATTTAGCTTTCTGCCTGTTAGCAAAAGCTGTAGACTGCTTGAGGATGACACTTCACCTGTCAGGTGAAAAAGGATTGCCAGGTGACATCAGTAGAGACCAGAGAGTTATCTGGAAGTCACTGGAGATTTCTAAGTTTTGAAAGAGGGGACACAAAGACCAAAAAAATCAAAAAAATAAAATAATCTCAGTGGCAGGGGAGGAGGATGGTCATGAGTCCGTTTGGCAATGTGTTGGTTTCTTTTCAGTCTGTTAGTAGAGAAGGTTCTGAGAAAAGAATGAGGGTGGTGTTGAGGTCTGGCAGGGCCATGTTTTCACCTTCCTTTCATGAGGAATTAGTTCCCAGGCATTAAAGTCATGCTCATGGCCCTGCTTTTGAAAGAAAAACAACCTTTCTGGATATTGCAGTTCATAAAGTACTAATTTCCACATGTTCTAGGGTATTTCCCATCCTTGTAAAATTCGTGGTAATAAAACTCTTCTATCATTTACAGTAAAACAAGACTGTTTCTATTGAGTATCTATGTAATTTAATGTGCTACTACCAAATGCTATTAACATTGTATAATGAAGCAGGATTGTAAGAAGGAGCTATGATGGTGTTTCAAGTTAGGGATGTCCAGAGATAACTGTGATAACTATGCTTGCTA